ACTTCGACTTCAGTTCGACTGGTAACATAACATAATGCAATTATAAATGTAGAATAAACATTTATGGCAAGGCATATTCGTATTGCAAAAGGATGGAATATGGCAGACTAGTTGACCTGATATAAGTTGTCGTTGCAAGTACAGTACGGACGTTAAACGTTTCCTTGTCAGAGTTGTAGTTAGGGTAAAAGGAACGTGACCATGGCAAATTTAATTACTGAAATTTATTTAAATAAAATGAATAAAAATTAGATAAAACAACTAATTTAATTAAACTAATAAAACTGCATTCGAATAAAAATAATGTAAAATCAACAAATTATTTGGGTCTGTCAAATCCAGGTTCTTGACAATGCTCCTGCCTTAAAGTATGCAATCGTAACACAATGTATGATTATGTTGTGTATGGCCTCAAGAAATCACTTATATATCACTTATATCTGATAAAATATATATATGAATAATAAAACCACAAACTTTAAACTTCTATAACAGTTATGTAAAATCTTTTCTCTTAAACTATTTAAACTATTCTCTTAAAGTATTTCCGAATATGAAAAGTAACTTCTTATTTACGTAAAAAATATTAATAAATAAAATAAAATTTAAAAAATTAATATTTATATTTTTGTTGTGTTTTTACTATAAATTTATTTCTTTATGTTTTTATAATTTATTTTAACTAGAGCTGAGCTTCAAATATAATTGGAGTTGCACAGGGCGAAGGACGTAGTAGTTCAGTTCCTTATTCTTAGCTAACTTTATAATTAATTTCAATAAATAAATAAAATAATTAAATAAATAAAATAAATAAATAAGTAAAATAAAATAAAATAAATAAATAAATGAAATAAAATAAATAAATAAATGAAATAAAATAAATTAAACAAATAAAAAAAATAAATAAAATATTTAAAGTGGAGTTGCTTGGAGCTTCGGAGCAATTTTGCGTTCGAGCCAAATGCTCGAGCGCATTGAACTGCTCGAACTTCGCAATGCGAGTACACTTTTTAGCCCTAGTTTTAACAATTTAAACTACTTTTTTTTTTTTTTGATAGCTTTATTTATTTATTGTTGATTTCTGCTATGTAAACAATTCCGCCGACTATTGCAGTAATTTTTAACAAATTATTTTGCTATTGCTTTACTTTTTTAATTATTTTTTTACTTATAGTTTTTAGTTTGTCGCGGTTTTCCGGGGAAATTATACACGTCCCAATTTACTTTCTATATGATTAACAGTCATTGGTTAATAGCATTAATATGTGTTTTGTTTATATTAAATGAATTGATAATTTTAATTTAAAAAATAATTTAAAATAATTTAAAAAAATTAAAAATAATTTTCCTAAGTAAATTTTATACGATGGCAAATTGTGCCGTATGGTGCAAAGAATTGCGTACTGCGCTGTTTTACGTAGCGTAACAGAGCTTTCTGGGTTCACTAATTGTCTTATTGAACATTTAAAATGCACTTCTTCATACACTACTCTTCTGCAACGAAGGGCGAAATAAATAATTAATAGGTAATATCAAAGATAATGAAATTATATAGATGTTCAAAGTCAACACAAAAATTTTCAAGTGCTGTTTTCACCTACACTCTATTCAAACGCTTAAGCGATAGCTTCATACTTGACAATGTTTTTAATTGCGTTTACACTATCCTAAGACTTAAAGCTTGAAATTTAATTTTATTCTGTTTAAACGTAAAAAGCGTGTGTGCGAATAATTACAAAATTACATAATGCTTGCATTCGTTTTAAAATTCGCATTCGAAGACACAGTTTTCGAGACAGTCTTGAAGATAACGTCCGCATCAAGCGGCTAAGTTGCATTAAATTACTTCTCATTATGTTAAAACGACGAGAATTAAGGTACCTGCTCTTATTTTTCCTCTAATATTTTAAGACTGTATACCATAAAATTTTTTAATAACAAAATGAAAACTATTTTTTCTAATGCTTGGTGAAATGTTTTCATATCTAGCGCGATATAGTAAATCATGGGATTTTAAGAAGAACTATAAATATTAAACCAAGTAATACCATTTTTCCAGTTGTCTTATTTAAGTAGTTTTCCTTCTTAAGTCTGCTAATGATAATTATTTACCACACAAAAAGCTTTTATATTAATGAGCTTATTATAAATAAATCAACTTATTTAAGGGGAAAAATGTCGAATGCAACTGTTAAAAATAAATTTTCCAAAAGGGAACTTTACAAATATTGAAATATGTTTTATGTGTAAATTGTAAACAAACTGTAAAAATCAATGTAAGCTGTAAATCAGCTTATGCGAATGAAAACGATTGAAACTTGATTTCATTAACATAAATAGTTTTAGCTGCAATGGAAATATGATATAAATTATATAGAATATTGAAAAAATGTCATTTATTGCTTCCTAATGTATCAATCTGGACTTAATACATAAATAGTAAAAATAATAATATATTGATATTTACTTTATTTTTTTTTTGTGCACATTTAAAAAAAAATGATTTTCATAACACTAGAATGCTTTTTATTAGCACTTATTTTAAAACTTACAAATTTTAATGTTATAAAAATGTAAATTTTTTATACAAGAATTGATGATTGTTTAATATAAAATAAAATATGGAATTACTAATGCCGTATATAATTCCCTTTGTCGATGATTAATTAATTATTAACTGCAATCCTATTATTAGCAAATTATATCATATAAAAATCATGTATACATATAATAAATCATATATATATAATATATACTATATTATATTATATATATCAGATGTAATATTTTACTTATATAGTATATATATATTAATATATTTATATATATATATTATATATATATATAATATATATATATTTATATATATCAGGTCCGATCTTACAGTTACCAACTAGTTTCGTAAGTGTTTGTCTGGGTAATAGCAGTTAATGTAATTTTAATATCTCTTTTATTTAAGATTGAAAAAACTTAACCGCTAAACCCATTCTTGGAGATTCCTTTTCGATAACAGAAAGGTAGCTGTAAAATCACGCTTGCTACCCCCAATGATGTCAATGTCGTTAATGTGAGCAAGGAGCTGTACACATTTGTAAAATATTGTTACATTACGATAAACACCTGCCGTGCGCATTATCACTTCCATAATGAAATTAAAAAGATCAGAAGATAAGGGATCACATTGTCTGAAGCCACTCACGGTATCAAAATGTTTGAGGACAAACAATTGTGATAATGTCAAAAATAATAGTTTTCATAGCTTTCAATACGGATGCTTTACTTACGTTGTTGAGATTTTTTGGATGTAGCATACATCATATATACATGTATATATATGCATGTGTAGCGGACAGTCAGTAAAAGTCGGTGGAAGTGTAACCATTTTTTTTCATAACGTTTTGATCGAAAATGAATATACCCTTCTGAGCGTCGCGATTACTGATTTAAGCGATTAAAAAGCAGTACAGTGGACTTGCTTGGTACACAAGGCCGCCATTCCAACCTAACATAGCCTATAGGGTACAGGTAAAAATTTATCGCTATCTTTTTATTAATTGGTTCATCTATAAGAAAAACGACAGTGATAAATAGAAATTTTTATATGTAATAAAAAAATAAAAAAATAGACCTTTACAGTTATTTTAATCCCACCTTGAAATGTTTGACTCACATATGTCAAGGTCTGTTTTTACTCACCTTCTTAATACACTCTAACCTAATGGTGTTTTTACAACTGTGAAAGATAAAATTATAACTAATAATCTTTTATATGGAGATTATGTAGTTTACATAACATGTGTGTGTGCAGAATCCGTAGAATATGAACAAAAAGCAACGACATTTTCCGATCTATATATATTGTTGTTATATATATATGTATGCTATCTATATACATAGATTCTTATTGATTGCTGTATACGTATGTACATATATAGGACGCGCAATGCACACCACTTGACTTTAATAAAATCGCCACTGTTTTTACAGATGAATGTTCAAATGAGTACTTAATTTCTTTACCATCATGCACTTGTGTGCGGTTTATGTCGTCACTATTTTGTTATTGTTCGAAAATTCGAACATATGCTCACTGTTTGGCTGAGCAAGTGACGTTTCACCTAATCAGCTGCTAAAATTGCGTGAAGCATTTGATTGCTTTAGTGCGTTGTCAGTGGTAGTTGAGAGTTGGTGTGTTTACTAATTATTTATTGTTTGATTCTGCAAAAAAAAGTTAATTTGTTATTAAAATTAACTCAGCTGCAAATATACTAAAAAACAAAAACAACTAAAATGAAGAGATTAAGTCGAAAAAGAAAAACCGGGAATGTGCGAAGGCAGCAGTGGCTGCTGTTGACAGAAGAAACAATTCCGTCCTTGCAAGACATCTTGGAACTAAAACAACAAAGTGCATCCAAAACCCTACTTCTACAATGTCACATACTACAGGAACACTGGCAGTACATGGAGGAGTTTAACAAATGCTGTTTAATAGGATTAAGCAATTAGAGGTGATGAGTTTATTGTAAAGCCGCCTTACCGGTTCGGTAAACACTAAGTAGTGTTAGAGTCAGCCAGGAATGTGTTAGTTTAATGCTTCTATTATGTTCCTAATTGTATTATTTATTCCCAATATAGATTGTACTTTAATATTTGATGGCCTCTATCATTAGCTGCTCCTGACATTTTTTCCCTTGACAGACTATTGTGTCCTGCCTCCACCGTAGTTACCGTAGGCTTTCTTCAACTTCGGCTGTATCCAGAAAATTTTTAGTTTTTTCTAGATTGATTATTTACAAGTAAGATTCGTGATCAATTCTTTGTGGAAATTTCTTCTCCTATATTCTACAAGAGCAATGCAACCTCTAAGGATGTGTAAGGATATTTCTGTGTATTCT